CATAAAGTAAATAATTACTAAAAATATTTTACAGTAATTCATTCATTATTTTATAATAACAATATCACGTTAATCACTACACTATGTGGGCGAACAAAATTATAAAGCTAACCCTGGAAACTTGTGACGTCAACCGAAAAATGGCGTACATATTTACCTTTTATATATTCCTTTTTTTTACTTACCTAAAGAAGGAAACTTTTCGCTTCTCTTCACCAACTCGATCACTTGTATTTATACAACGTTTTACAATACACTTGCCCATGATAAAACGTCTAATTATCGAAGTCACAGCGATGCGTACACGTCAAATGTTAGGACACGACTGAGCGCTGGGCACCAAATCAGGCACCGAAGTGTTTTCACTAAGTCGCTCTATAAGCCACTCTAGGTGGTCTGTGGTCAATAGTAAACAAAATCCTGTTCTCTTCGAAATTGGATTCATGGATCTAGTTCATGTTTGTCTGATCCTTATTTAGTGATCGGTGATCATGATTCAAATCAAAGCTCAGCAGTGAGAGGAGAAGAAAACGGCTTAGCAATTAAATTTCCTACGTTTACCTTGAATACTGCCTTTATGTCACATTATTATAAAGATACACAAATGAAAATTTATAAATGCTTCTTTATTTAAAGAAATAGGTAAATCTATTACGAAATTGAAGCTACATCTAGTACAAAAGCAAAATGTCTGTATAGAAAACCACTTATAACTGCAGCTCGGGACTCGGTCGGATGATCATAGCCGTCGCGTCACAGGTCACAGTTACAGAATAGAATCGCGTCGACATTTCGCTATAGTGCACCGTACGAAACCGGTAATAATAGCAGCAGTGTGTTCTTTGTTGCCATCGTGTATACGTTTTTTAAATATTCTAATAATGTCGAACGAGCCGAAAGGTAAAAAACGACCTTTCCCTTTCGCTGATAAAGTACGCAAATTTATTGCCGACTTTGAGGACCTGCAATACGATGGTGCTAAAATTGTGTGCACAATTTGCGATAGTGACTTAATGTGCTGGGATAAATATGATTGTATAAAACATGTAAACAGTCAACATCACAGAGACAAAAAACAGGGTGTGCCTTCCAAATTTCAACTGATGGTCGATTTATTGCTTATGCTGGTTGCCTGTAACGTGCCGCTAAGTATATTGGATAAACAACCATTCCGGGAGTTCTGGAAGAAATACGCTCCCGAGTTGCATTTACCCAGTACCAGAAGTATAAACACGTATTTGCCAGAGGTGCGTAAGGACGTAATAGATAAAATCAAATGCGGTGTAAAAAATAAACAGTTGTGGTTATGTGTGGACGAGACGACAGACATAAAAAAAATTTCTGTAGTGAACATTATAATACGAATATTAGACTCTTTACATCCAGCATCTCCGTTACTACTAGCTAGCAGAAGACTAACCAAGTGTACTGCACGTACAATTACTCGGGTGGTGCTGGATACACTTGAACAATTTGAAATATCCGCAAGCCAAGTTTTATTGTTTGTAACCGATGGTGCCGCGTCAATGCGTTTAGTAGGCCGTTCTCTGCAGGAACACGGCTGTAGATTTTTACATATTACGTGTAAAATACATGCACTACACCTGGTAGCGGAAACTGTTCGAAACTGTTTTCCAGGGGTAGATACATTAATAACCAGCACAAACAAGGTGTTTCTTAAATCGCCCAAACGACTTCGCGCATTTCACGACAAGTGTCCAGATATTCCAGAACCCCCACAGTCGATTCTTACACATTGGGGAACATGGCTGAAAGCAGCTTTTTATTATGCTGTATATTTCCAGCAAATAAAGACTGTAATACTACAGTTCAAGCCGGATGAGGCTGCAGCTATTAAGGAGAGCCAGACACAATTTCAAGACATTTCTGTAGAAAATGATTTACAAACTATTCACAATAATTATAAAGGACTTCACGACGCGATAGAGAAATTACAAAACAGTGCGTTGTCATTAGCCGAGTCGCTGCAAATAGTGGACGACATCGGTTCGACTTTACATGCGATAAAAGACGTAAAAAATGACTGCGTTGTAGAAAAGTGGGAAAGTGTATTAAAGAAAAATAGTGATTTTATTAAATTGAGGGAAATTTGGGGAGGAGCTTCTACCGACACGTTAAGTGAATGCAGAGAGTATTTTAATTATGCCTGTGTTACGTCGGTAGATGTCGAACATTCTTTTTCACAATATAACCACATTTTTTCATCAAAGCGCACGTGTCTGCTGGAGGAAACTGTGGAAACCTATTTGATGTTGCAAAATATTAGAAAGTGGTGTCCAGTGTCTCTGGGTGATAATACTGATAATACGAGTGATAATAATAAAGCTACTTCATCTCGTACTTCATAATCCCAGTTAAATGGGTAAGTTTTGTACATATTTTCGTACATTGCAACAACTTTTGTTAGTATTTACGTTATTTATTTTTATTTATACCTACCTGTTTATTTATTTGTTTACGACGAACACGCCTATGACTACCCGACGAAAACCCCAAGCTTTACTTGTATTTAGGCTGTCTTATAAAAAACGCCCCAACTCTGTTAATAATTGTTCTATTTAAAAAAACAAACGACTGTTGTTAATGGCTTGACAAATTTTTTTTGGCCTGTTCGACATAATATTTTTTTCTGTAGTCAACGATATATAACAACTTGATATTTGTTAAATATTTTATGGAAAAAATATTTTTTTACAAAATTTATTAGAGAAATGCTAGGTCTAATTCACGGCAACTTCTGATAAAAATGTCAAATTTGCCATGAAAACAATTAAATTTAGAAGCATTAAATATCACGTACGCGTCATTTCCTAGGCAATATACGTATCAGTGTATTGTCAAGTGGTTATTAATTACAAAGAAATTATTGTAACTTAAAAAATATGAACACTAATGAACCGACCGATATGATGCATGTATACTTTCAATGTAATAAAAATACTGCCCAAGGAGAACGTCTGTATGCAAATCGGTCTCCAAACGGGGACGTTCCACAGCGACAAAAATTTAAAAGATGACAATCTCAATGTATGATGTTTTTAAAAAGCCTAAAAATTCGCAACGTATTTTTAATGGTCCTGTAGAATTAGACGTTTTGCTTAGTATTAAGGAAAATCCACAAGCTTCTACTCGAGAAATTGCAAGTAATATTAATTTTTCAAAAGACAGTGCACAAAATCTTAAAAAAACACAAATTTAAATCATACATACCACAGAAAGTGCAAGTGTTAGAAGATAACGATCGTGTCCGAAGGGAGCAATTTTGCCATTTTTATTTAAATACGATACAAGATGTAGAATTTTGGAGAAAAATTTTATGATCAGATGAGTGTACCTTTAGTAATAATGGCATTTTTAACCGAAATAACCATCGATATTGGAGTCAAGAAAATCCCAGAATAACTTGAAATCACCAACGGAGATTCAGTGTCAATGTTTGGTGTGGTATTCTAGGTAATCGATTAGTTGGACCATTTTTCATCGATGGAACTCTAACTCAAGACAAATATCATAGACTCTTGTCAGAAAATCTTGCAAATTTTTTGCGTACCTTATCGCTTGCAGAAGTGTATAGGATTTATTTTCAACAAGATGGTGCTCCCCCGCATAATGTTAGAAGAAACACTAATTGGTTAAATGCTAATTTTGATGAAAGGTGGATTGGCATGACTGATCTTGTTCGATGGCCCGTCCCTTCTCCTGACCTCACCCCCGCAGATTTTTTGTTTTGGGGATATCTTAAAGATCAAGTATTTTTGACGTATGGAAAATATAGATATTTTAAGAGAGAGGATTATAAACGTTTACCGTGAAATACCTCCAAACTTAATATCAAATACTACGTATGAGGTAGCCAGAAGATGTCAATTAAGTAATAAAAAAGATGGAAGACAGTTCGAACAATTTTTATAAGGTTTTTTATTGTTACATTTTTGTTTTGTTGTTGATCTGGTATCTATTTGTTTAGCTTTGTTGTTGTTACTTTAGACATGGCATTTCTCTAATAAATTTTGTAAAAAAATATTTTTTCCATAAAATATTTAACAAATATCAAGTTGTAATATATCGTTGATTGCAGAAAAAAATACTTTATCGAACAGGCCAAAAAAAAATAATGACATTTAAGAAAAAACAATTGAAAATCGCCTAAAGTTCTGATGATGGCAAAAAAAATTAAAATCAGTGCTCGATTGTAGTATTTGTCAAGCCATTAATAACAGTCTTTTGTTTTTCAAATAGAACAATTATTAATAGAGTTACAGCTTGGGGCGTTTTTTATAAGATGAACCCCGATGATGTACTTTGATCTGTTGTTCGGAGTCTGAAATCTGAAACTTAAAATAGGATTTGAGTTTTTGCATTTTAATTTATATCTCTGAACTATCCATTTACTAAAATTTTAATTTTCTTTGATGCCCAAAACCCATATTTTTACATTCTTTAGCCACAGAAATAACCATTTCTACTAAATTATTCCATATACAGGACAAGAGAGTCCGCCTCATTCTTGATATTGCCCACTGCTATAAGGAAGTTTAGACCGTCAACAACAGGCGTTAGATCTGAGAGTTTCAATCTCAGTGCCCCCAGATCCTGACAACCCGCAACGGTCAAAATTTGTGAATATGTGTCAGACTTTGCTTTGACTTATCAAATATCGTAGCTTATAAAACCAATGCTTAAATAAAAATATATATTTACAAACATAATTATTTATTTTAGCTTACAGTTTCTTTTTGTACGACTAAAGATTTTAATATTGAGTAACACGTAAAACGTGTTGGTGCCATTGTTTGAATAGGAGCCTCCAAAAACTGAAATAACAGAATGTACATTTAATAAACAAATATGTCTAACAATTACCTTTTTAAACGTTTTCTGATTTAAATCTTTACTGAATAACTGCTTTTTCGCTTCGGGGTGTTGCACAAAATTTACTCTAGCATTTGGTGTCATCATAGTAAATATTGATTTTGTCTCGTCGAACTTATCATCTTCAATATCCAGATTAACTTCATTACTACTTATATAGTATAATTCCTTAAATAAAGACAATTATAGCACATACATCGTCTTAAAATTTTCTTACTTACGTTTTTTGAATTTATGAAATAGAGGTGAGATCTTTCATACCAACTTAATTCGGCATCATTACTATATTTGCTAGGCACAAATGAGGCAGCAATTATATTTTTTTGTTTCGTTAACAAATCTTCATTGGAAAATAGAGGTACTGGAGAGTTAGGTGTAAAAACAAATACTGAAAAGCATTGAAATTCACTGTTAGTGACGTCCATGATATGCACCGAGTCTGCCAATTTCGACATTTTTAGTAGTTTTTTTGTTTATTTTCCAAGAAATTTAAAAAAGTATTGTTTTTTTGAAAAAAACAGGTGTATTTCAAAAATTTAAAAGAGCATTAAAAATATATACAAGGTATTTTTAAATGAAGTAGCAAAAATGGTACCAGTGAATGTAGATCCAAAAATAAGAGGATTGAAGTAAATATACCTTATATGAAAGTTACACCCCTGAGGCGATATACCCTTTTAAAGGAGGGGATTGAAATTCACATTTTAATTTTTTTCTTTAACATGGGTAATGCTAGAGACACGAAACTTGGTATGAGCATCCTACTAAAAAAGAGACAACTTTTCAATATGTGCTTGATCATTGGCGTATTTTATAAAGGAGGGAAACAGTCAACCCCATTGCAATATTTTATTAGAAATTTTTTATATGAAGCAAATGATTTATTTAAAAATATTTATTGGGAAGGCTGATTTATTGCGCAACTTTTTTACCTCTTGTAATTTTTCGATAAAACCGATAGTTTTCTAGTAAAAAAATTAGGTGCGTCGTTTACTAAAGGGGTAATTGCCAAAATTTGTAAAAATAAAGTAGGCGGATGTCATAACAAATAAATTGTTATTTATCATATTAACAAATTGACACTTTCTGTCAATACGTTGGTAATTTAATAATAACATTAAGAATAATTTGCTATTAATTAATGAAAACTATTTGATAATTTATGACTATGGGACATGTATTAGGTAAAGTTATTTATCTGAAATAAAATTTAATACGAACGAGAAACAAGAAATGCAAAATTAAATTTAAAGAATGTTCTCGAAATAATTTCCATTTTGCTGCAAGCATACCTAATACGTCTGTTGAAGTTATAACACACTCGCACAATCAGTTCTTGGTTATTGCGAAGGTCATCTGCTGCCTGAAATATTCTTAAGCGTAGTTCTTCTAAGGAGGCAACAGGAGTGGCATAAACAATACTTTTTATGTGTTCCCACAAAAAGAAATCCTTAGGCCTTAGGTCAGGTGAATGTACAGGCCAACAAACGGGGCATCACGACCACAGCCAATCCAGTGATTCGGGTAATTTAAATTTAACCATTCTTTAACGGCAAATGTACTATGTGCAGGCGCCCCATCGTGCATATACCACATCACCTGACGTGTAGCGAGGGGTACATCCCCAAGTAATGTTGGAAGATTTTCGTTAAAAAATTTAAGATACTCAGCAGCTCCAAGCTTGTGTGGAAGAATAAAAGGACCTACTAGAGTATTTCCTACAATTCCCATCCAAACGTTTAAACTGAAATTATGTTGACATCTTGAAACAAATATTTCATGAGTATTTTATTCTGACCATGAATGAACATTATGATTGGTTTACTGCACCTACTCTAGGAAAATTTGCTTCATCGATGAATAGAATATTCATTAGGAAATTTAAGTCATGCCTGGAAAAATTTATGTACCATTGAAAAAAATCCACGCGGTTAGGTAAATCAGGGTCATTCAATTCTTGCACGGGTTGCTGGTGAAAAGGGTATAAAAGATTTTCATGATCTACATTCCACACAAGACTGTGAGAAACTTGCAGTTGCCTGGACACCTGTCTTGTGCTTGTACCACAGTCTTGTTCTAGATATAGATGTTCCAGTATAACTTCCTCAGTTTCAACAGTTCGGACATTACGCCTTCTTCCCGCATCCTCACAATTGGGCTGAATTTTACCAGTTTCAGAAAGCCTTCTTTCCACCGAGGCTAATGTTTGTAATGAGGAATCAGTCGGTTTGGATATCTTTGGTGGTATAATCTTACTGCAGTGTTACTATTTTTTCTGGACTCGAAAAACAATTGGAGCATGTCGACATATTCGTCATTGGTATATATATTATTTGCCATAATTATTCTGATAATAAATTAATCAAATGGTACTAATTATTGGTTGACAGAAAGTGTCAATTTATTAATATGATAAATAACAATTTATTTGTTATGACATCCGCCTACTTTATTTTTACAAATTTTCGCAATTACCCCTTTTAGTGAACGATGACGCATCTAATTTTTTTTCTAGAAAATTATCTGTTTTATCAAAAAATTACAAGAGTAATAATAAATCAGTCTTCCCAATAAATATTTTTAAATAAATCATTTGCTTCATATAAAAAATTTCTAATAAAATATTGCAATGGGGTTGACTATTTCACTCCTTTATAAAATATGCCAATGATCGAACAAATATTGAAAAGTTGTCTCTTTATTAGTAGGATGCTCATACCAAGTTTCGTGTCTCTAGCATTACCCATGTTAAAGAAAAAAATTAAAATGTGAATTTCAATCCCCGCCTTTAAGAGGGTATATCGCCTCAGGGGTGTAACTTTCATATAAGGTATTTTTACTTCAATCCTCTTATTTTTGGCTCTACATTCACATTTAAAAACACCCTGCATATAGGAAAGAACTAAAGATAAAAACAATATAGCATATGGATTCTATATAAAAAATCATCGAATACATCATTGAAAATGGATTTAAGAAATACCCTGTACCCTTTAATCTGATCAATATATCGAGATGCATTCAAATCATTAAATTTTTCTTGAAAATCGAGCTGTAAAAACTAAACTTTTTTTCTATTTTTTTCAGGAAACAGGAGAAACTACCCAAAAATTGGCGAAATCGGTTTATCCGACATACACAACACAAAACCAGGTCATAGATTGACATACTTATTTTTGTTACAAGAATGATATACAGTGTATTCAAAAATTTATGTAAAATTGGTCATTTTTTAAAAAATTTTATGTTTAATGACATAACAACAATGACATCACTTGCGATTTTTTTAAATGAAAAGAGATCTTTTTTATATTATTTTCAAAAGAAAGGTTTTTGAAAATTGCCCAAAATAGTATAAAAACCGGAGATGTTCCAAAATTTCTATTCGCATCTCCAAATACGAAATAAACGAGAAATATTAAAACAGATTACTTACTACGTTTCAATGTTTTTAACAATTGTTATAAAAGAAGAGTAAAACTTATTTTATTTATAAAATAAATTTTACTTTGATAAAAATATGGAGCCGATAGTAAAAGTTAAATATATTTAGTTAAATTCTAATTTTTTATTTTGCCTTTTTCATTTACACAATTAATAGTTAAATGTTAATAAACGTTACTAACTTTCATATAGAGCCAAATATACCAGGTACCTCATCAATCGGTTATCGCTTAAGATATAGTAGATTTATCAAAGGGCAAAGGTAGCTGTTCTCAAAAAGTAACTGAATACAAATGTCAGAATAACTAAAATGCACTGTACCTTTTTTATTCTCCGTTAATACTGCCATATGTGTCGATAAAGGATCGGCTATAAGAAGACTAACCCTTAAAGGTACAGTCCAGATCATACAAAGCGTCAACAGATTCCAGACACTCAGTTGATATGCACTTGCGGATACCAAGAGATGGCACTGATTACTGTAACCAAATTTAAGCCATTTAATTTTCCCCTTGTGAGTCGGATGAAATAATGAACATTTAATTTCACACGAATCGGGCGTCCAAGCGGTTACTATAGTATCAAAGCCTATAGCCATCAGGGAACCATCAACGGAAAAAGATAATCCCGAGCAGCTGAAATCTCTAAAAAATCCTATACCGAAACATTTCCAAACCACGCCTTTTTCTGAAAATAAACAATTCGGTGTTTAGAGATTAGAAATTTTGAAAAAATTGTAAATAAAAAATTTTTCACTTTTAGATCGACATATATACAATTGGATAGTGAAGGTGACATCAGGACTCCGATTTTTGAATTGATGAAACAAATTCTTATAAGATGAAGTAATTTTTGCTAACTCGCAGTCTATATGTTCAGAGTTTAGGTTTTTACTTAATATTTACGACATTTTCTCAAAGGAATTTGTTCTATTAATTCAAGAATTAGCACCTTCCTCAAATAAACAAAGATTTCACAAGGAGCTGTGAATATTAAACTATAACGAGAGACTTCTCCGATTCTTAGTTTTTTTATAATCCGTTTTTATAGTAATGAAGCCTAGAATATTTGATATAAACTTTATGGTTTTTGAAAATATCGAAAAAGTGAAATATGATCAAAAAAAAAGTGAATATTGCAATCTAGAAATTTTTTACATATATTACATATATACAGGGTTATTCACGCAACTGGTTCATTAGAAGGATACCAAGTTACCATGATAGAATTTGTTGAAAAAGACCATGCACGACCATGGAAAATGGGTTCCGGCCAATTTTTTTGAAACTTTGCAAAATGATAGTTCACAACACGTCGATCAAAAGTCTCAATGAGTACGAAGCTCTAAACTAAACCCTTCCCCAACCCCACAAAACCACCCCCAAATGTAGGGGAAACACGTAACGGAACATATTGGTGGATTGCCTAACCGAAACATTTTACTACTATAGTGGGATCTGCAGCTACCCACACCATCACTAGGCTCGAGCCTAGTAGTTTATTACTTCTTACTAGTTGTGAACCTATTTGATTGTGCATTTCAACCTACAGCCACTTAGACCATCACCTCACACGACTTCAAAACCCCGATAATTATACCAAAGCCCACATGGTATGGTTTTACAGCGGTCTTACAGGTTAGGAAACCATTTGATGATGTATTTTATCTCAGCGATCTAAACCATCAGTACACAAGCCCCTTCGGTCCCTGAATTATACCCCCACCCCAACCCTTCAAACACAACCCCTTCCAAAGCCAACCAAATGATTTTGCACATCTCACAGGTTGTGAAACTATATATTATCACTCAGTGACCATCATTAGGCACGACCCTTCGACCCTTGTAATGTAACCCCACTCCTTTAACCTTTCATCCCCCCCTAAAGCCTACCTTAAGACTTTTTACTGCTTTCTGGTTACGAAACCATTTGATTATGTATTTTTTTCGACATCCACTAAAATCATCATTACACGTGATCGCAACTCTTCGAAGCCTAACGAGTAAATTCCCAGCCCACCAGACCCCACAAACCCACCCCCTTCCTTAGTAATGATTTAAGTTGCTGTGAGATGGAATATGCTTTCACAACCCGTAAGATGTCCAAAGCTATGAAATAGATGTTAGAAGTTAAAAAAAAATGGACCGGAATCCATTTTCCATAAGGCCCTTTGAATCCTCAGGTTACCCGCCACGAACTTTTCGATGAGAATATTTTCAAAACTGTTGCACTGCCGCTTATACTGGAAGTTGCCACTAACTCTGTTATTTTAAGTGGAACACCCTGTATATTCAGAGTCAACGTGAAATTTGAGGGTCACTCCTATATCTAGGAGTTATACTGGGTGTTTCAGAAAAACCTCCCGTAAATTCAGGGGGTGACAGTACGACAAAAAATAAGAATTTTAGTGGATATGGAAAAAAATACATAATCAAAAAATAACAATTTTTTGTAGTTTTCCAAACGCTACAAAATATTTTCATGAAATTTATTATTCCGGGGTTTTTAAGGACGCCAAATACGCTGGTTTAATTATTTTTTGGATATTTCATAGAGGGTGCTAGTTACGCTACATTCCTATTACATTTTAGGTTCTAATTTTTTTAAGGTTAGGTTTTTTACCATTCGGGCTCCAATTTCTAATGTACAATTTTATTTTCTAAAAATAATGTACCCTTGTTAGAATTTCCTAATGTGGACGAGAAAAAAAGGCTTTTAATTGAACTCTTACAATATTACGGTGTAGAAAATAAGTGACTTTTAAAGTAGGTTTATGTCAAAACTTATTGATGGATGTCTCATAAACAACGCATACATTCTCAGTAATATTTTAAACTCTAATTAACTTTATATCAAAATTTTAGTGACTACAGTCACTAACAATCACTCCAGGCATTTTTATTTAAATTTTCGGCAAAAACTATTCAGATGTAACGATAATTTGACAACAAACTTGGCAAATATCAAATTATTTCAATTGTTTTTGGAGAGTTTCTGGGGGGCTTTCGTTTTGACAAAAATAGTACCTATTAGCAACTAATATCAGTTCAGAGTAACTCTAAGTTGCTATTAGCTACTAATAGCTACTATTTCTGCCAAATCGAAAGACTCTCTGGTCATGGCCAATTTGACAACAGGTCTGATACGAGAAAAACTGTCCAAAAAATAGAAAACTGCAAATATCTCTAAAAGTAGTAACGGCAACTCTAACAATGCTGATATGGCTTGAAAGGAAATTTGAATCTACATACAACAGAGTAAAAAAATACAGGGTGTTCCATTTAAGTTAACAAAGTTATACTTATTTCAAGTTACCAAAATGTAACCGCAAAAATGAAACACCTAGTATTAAATGTTTTAATTTGTTGGTATACCATAATTTAGTGTTACCTATGCCCTGTACAGGTACCAAATATCCAGTTGATATCACGCCCCTGAAAAGAATTACTAGCATCTCCACGGACCCTTGCATCTGTGAAATTTTTTTAAAAATTAATATTTCAAATTCTATAACTCCTAGGTATAGGGAATATTTAATAAAGTGACCCTCAAATTTCACGTAGAATACGAAAATGCAATAATATATAGGATGTCCCATTTAAAATAACGAAGTTGGTGGTAACTTCCAGTATAAACGGAAGTGCAACAGTTTTGAAAATATGTATTTTCATTGAAAAGTTCATAGCCGGTAACCTGTGCATTAAAATTTTCAACAAAATACTATCATGGTAGCTTCGTATCCTTCCAATAAACCAGTTGCGTGAATAACCCTGTATACTTATATTGGAGACAGACCACTTAAACCTTACATCTCTGTAATTTTAGAAAATCATTCTAATAAAATGTGTACAAATTTGTTTACTTTCCAAACGAAAACACAATATTTAATTTTTTTTTATTATTTTTAATTTAACTTTGAATGTTCCTAAATTGTTTTTTACTCTATTTTCATACCAACCACAAATATTTACAACTATTCCGTAATCATTTAATAAAGTTAAATTTATATCTACCAATTTATTTAAAAAATAAGGAAATTGAAATTTTTTATTAATTTCTGAATTTCTTTAATTTCTTTTGAAATAAAGAACAAATGACACTTCAAATGTACTTGCAACAATACCTAAAATTTTAATATTTGGAAGTAAATATAACATGCGAATGATAACTATTAGTTTATTAATTGTAAACTATAGTCTTAATTTCCAAACTCTAGTAAATATAAACAAAACGTCTTACCAAGTGTGTCTGACTCCACCAGTTGCCATATTTTAAATTTTTTGTCATCACCTAAAGTTACGCAACGCAAACCATCATCATTATTCAATGGTTGAAATAGTATTTCCTTAACAGATTTGTCATGAGGATATTCCACAGATGTGTTTAATTCAAATCTGCAAGATTACATATTAATGTAGAAAACTATAAAAACAAAGATCTAACTTACTTTTGCATCTCGCTATTAAATTTCCAAAATTTTAGCCTTATTTCGCTGTTGTACACTTTATCTCTTCTTTCCTCAACTGTACCCAACCATAATCCATTTTTACTTATTGCTACTTTTGTTACATCTGTGTTTTCCATTATGACACCCCTTTCGTTTGTTATTCTGTTTCGCCCCACTACATCCACCTACCAGCAAATGAGATTGTTAAAAAACAACATATTTTTTGGTAATTCTTCTTGGTACATTGGATAAACATTTTTTTTCTATACAGGGTGTTTTTAAATGAAGTAGCAAAAATGGTACAAGTGAATGTAGAGCCAAAAATAAGAGGACTGAAGTAAAAATACCTTATATGAAAGTTGCACCCCTGAGGCGATATACCTTCTTAAAGGCGGGGATTGAAATTCACATTTTAATTTTTTATTTTTTCTTTAACATGGGGAATGCTAGAGACACGAAACTTGGTATGAGCATCCTACTAATAAAGAGACAACTTTTCAATATTTGTTCGATCATTGGCGTATTTTATCAAGGAGTGAAACAGTCAACCCCATTGCAATATTTTATTAGAAATTTTTTATATGAAGCATATTATTTATTTAAAAATATTTATTGGGATGACATCCGCCTACTTTATTTTTACAAATTTTCGCAATTACCCCTTTAGTGAACGATGACGCATCTAATTTTTTTACTAGAAAACTATCGGTTTTATCGAAAAATTACAAGAGGTAAAAAAGTTGTGCAATAAATCAGTTATCCCAATAAATATTTTTAAATAAATAATTTCCTTCATATAAAAAATTTCTATTAAAATATTGGAAAGGGGTTGACTGTTTCACTCCTTTATAAAATATGCCAATGATCGAACAAATATTGAAAAGTTGTCTTTTTATTAATAAGATGCTCATACCAAGTTTCGTGTCTCTAGCATTCCTCATATTAAAGAAAAAATTAAAATGTGAATTTCAATCCCCTCTTTTAAGAGGGTATATCGTCTCAGGGGTGCAACTTTCATATAAGATATTTTTACTTCAATATTTTTATTTTTGGCTCTATATTTGCTAGTACAATTTTTGCTACTTCATTTAAAAACACCCTTTATAAGCTAAAGGGAAGTACACGTTAACGATGTGAGCTTGAAGTGTACATCAAGTGCAGTCAATGTTACAAAATTTGTGATTTAGAGGGTTTGCAGAGACAAAAGATATAATTTACTTACACTGTATAAAAGCGACCCATCATTAGGAGAGTAAAACTGTACATGTCCTGGATTGCCGTTCATAACCAAGGCTTTAGTTCTGGGATCGTATATAATGCCACTTTCATGTTGTTCTCCTAATACTAGATGCTGAATAACATTAACTTGGTTCATCTGATTATCTACAATTCTCACAGCGTTATCTCTGGTTGCTACGGCTGTATACACATTGTTAGTGGCCAGTGAAATGTGCTCAATCTCCGCGGCCAACCGTGGTAAAAATTTTTTTTCATTTTCATCGTCAAGTTGCCATTTTACTAAAACGCATTCTTCTCCTCCACTATAAAAGTAGCTACCTGCGGTAGAAAAACATAGTGCTCGGACAGGCAATGTATGCCAGTGGAAAACAGACTTAACTTTATTTCCAAAAATATTTCGCCATACTATAGCACGTCCAGAACTATCACCACTGAGAACAATTTCATCGGTTGGATGGCAAGCAATGCAGGTAAAACTTCGGGTACTATCGATGGCATATCTAAAATGGAAATGTGTACATGAAGTGTCCGGAAACAAAGGGTCTGTTTCGTTGGATGAATTATATAAAAAAATAGGCAGCTGTTTATTTTCCGCTACCCAAAAAATCTTATATCAAATGTCATTCAAATATCTTTAAAAACGTTAACAAAAATTTAAATAAAAACTTGTCTTTGAAGGCCCATAACATTTTAAGGAACCCTTATCAGTTTATTTTCTTTCCTTGAAGCATAGCCGTTTTGTTTCCAGAAGCAATGTATAAAAGTTAGAATCTATGATTAGAAGCACAGTCAAAATATATTGTAGCAAATGGAGGACATTTTCAAAATTTATAATTAAGAACTCTTAGAAAGTAAATGTAAATACAATACTTAGGCACACAGGGATTCTAGTACAAATAAAATAATTTCACTTAATTTGATAAGATCAATGTACATTTTTTACAGTAAATAAACAGTGGTTCAAAAATTGTTAATAACAAAATAAAAGTTTTAAGCCCATACTAATTGATTAATAATTACCAAAATATATAGTTACCTTGAAATAGCTTTATCATTTAAACTAACAAAATAAATAATATTTCCATATACAACAGAAAAATATTTGTTTTCACTGACGTCAAGGAAGTACTTGTGACCGTCTAATTTAATGCTGAAGGAAAAATTTTTTGATACACATTTTTTTATATCTATTATGGTAAAACCAATTCGATTTTTACTTCCATATGATATCATTGCCTTTAACTCTGTATTTTCTGTGGTGACAATATTAAACGTTCGTATTTTTTTAAATTGAAATTGCTAAAAAAATAAATGGATTTTTATTTTATTTAGTAATTAGGATTATAAAAAGACAATACTTACTTTTTCCATTATTTTAAAATGAGTCATAGTTCTCCAAACTGTTACTTTGCCAGACTCGTAACAAACAACCAGGCAAGGGTAGGAATCATATATGAGATAACTAAATCCAACTATATTGTCAGGTGATGTTCCTTGATATTCATACATTAGTTTACCAGTTTTCCTGTTATATTCCGATATATTCTTCTTACAACATATAAACAAAGTTCTATAAAATATAATTATTTAATATTGGCTTTTAAGGGTAAAACTTATGCTTGTCTTTCATAATGAAAACTTACTCGCCGTCTGACGAAAAAATTGGTTTGAGAGATACAACTGATCCTCCATCTTTAAAATTTAAAGCAACTTCTACTTCTACCATTTTATCTCAAAATATTCCTTTTTTAAATAACAAAATGTACAGGTTAAACAGGTTAGAAAATATAGTGTGGACCCATCATAGACATTATAAACTAATGTTTCCTGTTAGTAACCTGTGAACTACTGGACTGAACTACCCGAACTGCTGAACTACGGATGGCTACCCGCACAAAACATACAATAGAGCTACCCGTAACTCGCGCCATTATTCCATGGCTAAAAATTGGCCTCAATGATTTGGGATCGCCATTATTCTAAGGCTAGAAATTGGCCTCAATAATTTGGGATCGAGGGGGATTATCCCTCTTTATCCTGCCTCATCTCGTGTAGGCCTGGACAGCCTTCGTAGGTGGGCCCCATCCGTCGTCTACCCCGACCGCAAATGCGGCCGGTGTAGGCGCTTTGTGGGACCTCCTTTTGTCCTGGCTGGGCCCCGCCGGCTAGGGCCCTTTCTTCTGGCGCTCTTCTTGCTTCGCCGGCTCGTCTGTGTAAACCCCGGGGGTAGTGTCATGTTTATGTGTGGTATGGTTGGGTAGGGTAGTGCGGCTATGCAGCCTGGGATGCGCTTTGCTAAGGTGGCCCTTAGGCTAGCGCGGGAGGGGAGGGGTAAGGAGGGTATGGGGGGTGTGTATGTGTGTGTGTGTGTGTCGTTGTCTTCGTTTCTTGATCCTGGCTGTCTCTGAAACAGAAAAGGTTAGCGGGCGGGGGGGGGGTCATTGGGGTGGTCACCCAGGGTCAAAAAGTTGGTGTCTAGGTCTTTTGTGTTTGTCGGTCACGTCGGGTACGTAGTCAACGGCTTGCCTGAGGAGGGGATTGTCATGTCTAGCGGCTACGTCAAATCGTTTCTCCGCGTTTTGTCTTATTGTCTGTGTAGCGTTTGTGTATTGTAAGTCTCGTAATATGTCAGTGTTTCTTACGTACCAGGGCGCGTCGGTGGCCGTGCGGAGGGCTATGTTTTCCACAGCCTGTAATGACTTTAAGTGGCTTTTTGCCGCGTGACCCCACGCCGTGGAGGCGTAGGTTAGCTGCGGTTGAAGTACCACCTTGATAAGCGTTCGCTTATTCCTTAAACTGAGGGTGTTTCCACCTTTGAGTAAGGGATAGAGCCTAGCCCTGGTGGTCTTCGCTCGCGCCACCGTCTCCACGATGTGCGGTTTCCACGTGAGACGCTGGTCCATCGTCACGCCCAGGTATCGTGTTTGTCGATTCCAGGAGATGGGTTCCTGGGATAGTGTCAGTCTGTCGAGGTTTTGTGGGATTTTTCGTTTGGTAAAAAGGATAGCCGAACTTTTGTTGGGATTAATTTTGACTTTCCACCTGTTGCACCAGGTTTCAAGTTGGTCTAAGGAGTTTTGGAGGAGGGAGACGGAATATCTAGGATCTACGGATTGGGATGTGATTGTCAGGTCGTCGGCGTATAAGTATATGTTGGTGTTGGGGGGATGTGGGATGTCGGAGTTGTAAATGGTGTATAGGTGTGGGGACAGGACGGTGCCCTGGGGGACACCGGCCTCCATGGGACGGGTGGTGGAAAGGGAATCTTGGATTTGGATGCGGAATTTTCGGTGGTGTAGGTAGGATTTTATGAGTTTGGTAAAGGATATGGGATATTGGTTGGTGAGCATTTTCATCAGTAGGCCTTCATGCCAAACCGTATCGAAGGCCTTTGCGACGTCCAGGAAGACAGCACCAGTGTACTGTCCCCTGTTGAAGGCCGCCGTGATGTGCTCGGTAAGGCGAAGGATTTGGAGTTCAGTGGAGTGATTGGGTCGGAAGGCGAACTGCTCGTCTGGAATGACTTGCAGTTCTTGGGAGTGGGTTCTTAGACGGGTTAGGATAATTTTTTCTACCACTTTGCTCATAGCCGGGAGCAGGCTAATGGGCCGGTAGTTGGATGGGATGGTGTGATCTTTGTTGGGTTTTGGGATAAGGATTATGTTTGCTGTTTTCCAGCGGGTAGGGAAGTGTCTTAGTCTGAGTGTCGCGTTTGTTATGTTTAGTAGGGCCATGAGGCCCTTGTGTGGTAGTCGTTTAAGTGTCGTGTTATGTATATTGTCGGGTCCGGGGGCTTTTCTGTTTTTAAGTCTGCGTATTGTCAGTCTTAGTTCGTCAGGTGTTGCGGGGGGGATTATGTCATTGTCTGGCTCTCTGTCGACGCGTCGGGCCGCGCGCTCAGCCACTATCTCGAATTCCTCGTCTTCGTCGGGCAGCTGAGGCAGTCTACACTGCAGTTCCAGGCTATCGGCGAAAGCCTCGGCCTTTTCCTGGTTCGTGTAAACCACCCCCACACTACCGTGTATTGGAGGAATTTTACGGCGAGCGGGACCAGAGTAAGCAGGGCTAGGATCCGTTGGTCAGATATATTTTTCGTAAACCCCTTTTGTGAGCGTAGATTATAAACTCAATGTTCAACTCAAAGCATTTGGCAACACGACAAAACCAAATGTTGGCAACCCTTTCTTTGAACGATTTCGAATTCAACCGTTTTGTTAAGGAATGTTATTTTATCAGACAAGAAATTAGAAAAAGTTTCTTATGAAGTTTTTTTGTATTAGTTCTTTGCTGTCTGATTGTAAAGAATAATTTATTTGTGTGATTTTGGCAAGTTAACCGTAGTAAAAATGTCGGGAAATTTTGATAATTTAAATGCTCCACAATTTTATGACTTTAATAAAGATTTTAATGAAGATCAAAACGCAGATTCATACTTTGGTAAGTGAAATTTGAACATTATTTGGTCAAAAATGCTTACATTTTGTTACTTTAAAGAAACCGATCATGAGCTCCGGGAGCCTCAGGAAGATCCTTTAAAGTTTAGAAGTCCTGAGCAGGATAATAATGAAATTACCTTAACTAATAACAGTGATTATGACGAAAATAACAGTAGAAAACTACGACGCTCTCTGAGCGTTGGTAATTTATTAAATGATGTAAATGACGGTATAGTTGAGTAAGTTTAAGCAGTAATAACAGTATCAGTTGAAAGCCTAATTCATAATTTGTAAAATATATTTTTTAGTAACATAAAGGATGGCACATTAACATCCGAGGTCAATAAACATACCGCAGTATATTCATCTTGTAATGACTTAAGCGAAGCTAATGACAACAACTCTTTAAATGAAAGGAAGATGTATCTTCCCCTAGTCCTAGCAAGGGCTCAACGCTTATCAAAAGCTGTGTCAAAGGTATGTCTATGTAGATCGTAAATAAGCTGCATGTAAAAATGATTCAAATATCTGATTAGTTTCTAACAATCAAGGAGAATTTACCTTATAAATTTAAAAACTAGTTTCTTGAGGCAGTGTGATGTATCTTTATTATTTGTATACTGATAGTAATAACATACGTGATATCCGGGATCTATTGATAACACATTTTATCGCTTTATAACCTCGTCATAAAAATTCTATAGGAGCACCTGAATAGACTGGCACAGCCAAAGAAGTATGTATCGGACCAGAACTTGAATAAGTATGTATCAGTGGCGGAAGCTGTTAGGAAATTCCACAGCGGTACACCTACCCGTTTTCGGACTAGGCCGACGATGAGTAAACTGAAAATAACAGTGCCTCAGATGCCAGCTCTATTGAGCACAAATAGAAATCGTCCAGTGGCCGCAATTTCCATAGAGGAACGGGAGAGGTTAGAATATGAAGAGGCTCAGAAGTAAGTAGTAGTTTAAGGATGGGAAATGAAAATTTTCTGTTAGTGTTTTAAAAATAAAAATAGTTGCATGAATTAAATATTAAATAATCTAATGATTAGTGTTTGCATGTTATTTAAGTAAAAATGTTTTCAGTTCATTTTTTAAGTTTTACTTGAAAATTAGGTTTTTTTCGAAAAACATGAGAGAGTAGTAATTTGTAGAAAATCGAAAGACGAATCCGAATATATCATGACTGTTACCATAAAGCACTGCCATATTATTTTATTTAGAAAAATATGTCACCGATACACTGCATATCCGACACTCGAGCATCTAAATTTTAGAAAAAGGCCTCAGATTTTGGACAATATTTACATAAATACCCATATTCAAATTATTTTAGTTACTAGTTTTTATATTATTTAAAAAACTTTAAAATATTTTTTTAAGTTTAACACCCTGTATCTTTTTAACAAAGTGTCCTAGATAAAAACTTTATATGAAAGACTCCCCTTAAAATAAAAGAATAGTAGGTTTCATTTTTGGTCACAGTTTGTGAATCACACTATATATTGAAATTGTAGTTGTAGTTGTAAATGTAAAACAGATTGTACTTTGAAATATTTTAAACAAAAATTTTCTCATAATGCAGATCCTATGGATGACAATGTATAATTATTTAAATATTTCATAAATACGGCTTTCCAGTTCCTAGTGTTTCCTAATAAACAATTTACTTAAGATATTTTATAACTACAGCTCAATATACTAAAATTGCTATTAATGCCGAAAAGGAAAATTTTATTTAGCCTTTTACTAAATGTAATTGTAGGGTACCACTAGAACCCTTTAGATAATTATGCTTTAACAATAATTTATGTGATACAAACAACTATATACCAGAGATGCACATATCATGCACAAACTCAGGTTAGAATAGCACGTATTCGGTGTAAAATAGCATTGCATGCTTAAGCACCTGTAGTTGAGACTATCACTCATCTGGCGATTCGCCAAAACGGAGATCGCCGGACGAACGTTTATGTAATAGAAATTATGCACCGTTCTTTCGCTAGCGACTTGACAGAGATTTGCCTGGTATACCTTCAGCGAGTCACTGGCGATCGACTGTGCATACGGGTGTTATTCTTTTATTTTATTATAATTCTTATATTTTTTAAATATATTTTTTCTGTTTTATTTGTAAAATCTGATCTTACCGTTTGTTTTAAATATTTTCCCTATTGTCATTTACTTCTGAAAATTTTTTTAGTGTTTCTTGTTGGTAACTGTTTCAGAAAGACATCCCGTAAATACAGGGAGTGATAGTACATCAAAAAATGAGAATTTTTTGTCCTATGAACTGTATGTCTATATCCTCTTGTATTCGAGATACAAAGCGCAAAAAAAATTTTTTTTAAATAGACCGGAAATTTCCAAACGGTGCGAAATATTTTTATAAAATTTGGTATTCCATAGTTTTTAAGGGCGCCAAATACGCTGGTCTAATTATTTTTTTGGATATTTCATAGAAGGTATTACTTTTTAAGCTCTAATTTTTTTAAGGTGGGCTTTTTTACCATTCGGGCTCCATTTTCAAATGCATAATTTTATTTTCTAAGGATAGTGTACTCTTGTTAGCACTTTCTAATGTGGGCGGTTTTCAAGAAAAAAGGTTTTTAACTCTCTTATAGCTGTTTTACATTGACAATTTATTGATGAATAAATTGATGAAGTTCTTCATGAATTAATTCACGAATTTATTGGTAAACAGTGTGGTTTTACACTGCTACAGCCTTTGTCAAGTTTTTTGACGAATAAATCAGTTCTACCAATGAATCAAAGAAGCAAATAAATTTTAAAAATGTCACCTTTCCACTCATAATTCTAGTGATACAACAGCGGTACCGTTTAGACACATATTTTATGAATATTAGTGTTTGTAAGTAACAAATCAGTAAAAACAATGCAAAACTAGTACGACGCCACACAATTATTTACATATTCCAATATCATAATCTCATTACTGATCTGAGGCTGGAAATCTATTGGGTTGGTACTTCCGAACTTCATGAAGAAATTGACGAAAATTAGAACATGCTCTAATTCGTCAAGAACTTGATGAATAAATTCATGAAGTTATTTGGCAGCAGATTTGGTGCATTACACTTGTTCAATTTCTTGATGAAGCGACTTCATAAATTAATTGATCAATAAATTGTCAATGTAAAACAGCTTTATCAATATTAAGGTGCATGAAATAAGTGACTTTTCTCGAAGTAGGCTTATGTCAAAACTTGTTGATGGATGTCTCATAAACAATGCATCCATTCTTAGTAATATTTTAACTCTAATTAACAAAATTTTAATGATTGCTATTAGTCCTTACTAATTACAATCACTAAAAATCAATACAATTTTGATATAAAGTTAATTTGAGTTTAAAATATTACTAAGAATGAATGTGTTGTTTATGAGACATCCATCAATAAGTTTTGACATAAGCCTACTTCGAGAAAAGTCGTGTATTTTATACACTGCAATATTGTAAGAGTTCAATTAAAAGCCATTTTTCTCGAAAACTGTCCACATTAGGAAGTTCTTACAAGAGTACATTATTTTTAGAAAATAAAATTGTACATTATAAATTTGAGCCCGAATGGTAAAAAATCTAACCATAAAAAGATTAGAACTTAAAATGTAATAGAAATGCAACATAATTAGCAGCCTCTATGAAATGTCCAAAAAACAATTAGACCAGTGTGTTTGGCGTCCTTAAAAACCCCGGAATACCAAGTTTCATGAAAATATTTCGCACCGCTTGGAAATTTTTGTAAAAATTTTATTTTGTCACTCTGTATCTCGAAAACAAGAGGAGATAAGACATATAGATAAAAAATTCTTAAATTTTGAAGAACTATCGCCCTTGTATTTACGGGAGGTCCTTCTGAAACACCCTATATAAAAATAAACAAATAATTGTAGGTTTAAAATAAAATCCAAACCATTGAATAAAAAAATTTTGCAAGGACCTATTCCTTTAGTTCCAATAGAAAGGAAACCTGCCACCATTGTAAAACCATTTAACATTACAGAGGTGCCGCAAAAGGTAAGTTTACAAATTTCCAAATTAAAAAAAAGATAATGCATATTTCAACATGTTTCACAGCCTGTTATCTTCCCAAAAGAAGAAGGTTTCAAATTCTGTGCGAAGCCAGTTCCTAAATGTGTTTTTGAATCACCTAAACTGAAAGTTCTTCAGAAAACAAAATCACTGGATCAGTACGTCAAGGGTCCTGTCAGGCCATCTCGGAAAAATGAGGAAGAAGCCAAACCAAACGTAAAGTTGACAACAACGATTCCAAAACCATTCAGTTTCGAGGAAAGAGATCGGCGGATGTTTAAGAAAAAAGAGGAGTTTGTAAAGAATTTTATAGAAGAGGAAAAAAGAGCAGCGGAATTTCATGCTCGTCCTATTCCTAAAGCTATACTGAGATCTGCCAAAAGTAACTCCAGTTTAAAGCGTTCGGATTCTTCCGATATAAATGGCGAGCTCACAGTAAGTGACAATTTAAAAATAATGCAACGACTGTTTATTATTTATTTTTAACATTCATTTAGTTCAGTGTAGATTAAGTGATTTTTATGAAGAAATTATCTATAAGCCCTCGAAATGTACTCTGACTGTATTCCAACTGTATTCTGATGCACCCCCAATAGATCCTGATATATTCACACAGTATTCTATGTATTGGCACAGTATTTCTATGCATTCGACCAGTATTCCCGTGTATTCGCACAGCATTCCGATGTATTAACACAGTATTCCAATGTGGTCCCACCATATTCTTATCAAAACCGTGATTCAAGCAATGGTTTAGCCAGTCCTGTTGGCCGTGTACATGTTGATTATTAAAAAAATGTTAACTATTTACGTTTTTATCTGGCAGCATAGTGTATTACAGTAGGCGCTCGCTAATCTGACATGTCTTAGACCATTAAGTTGTTCGATTATTGGAAGTGTCCGACTATTGGAAGTAATCCAAAATATCAGAGTCTGGCATTTAAAAACACACAATTTGATTAGGCTATAGAGTTTAATATAAATAGTCCGGGAGGCAGCGACAGAAATTTTGCACCAATTCCTACAAAGCTGATTTTTTCTCAGATTGTTGTTTTGATATCGCAAGTAAACCGAACGGCAGTTTACCGCGCCAATGTGGGGGCAAACATTAGTAACAATGCTTGAAACATGTAAATAAACAATACGTAAATGTCTTATACCTACAAGTGTGAAACTTTTTAGAGTGATCAATTAGTACTAAGTATAGTAGCAGTACTAAAAGTACTGTACAATTATAGTCTACCGCGTCGGAAGCGGGGCCATCAAGGGTCTACCACTCACGGAGGTGTTGAAAAATTAACTTTTTTGACTTATTTCTACAAGGCTGAATTTTTTTTCTCAAATACTTTAGTTTATAAGAGAATCAAAGAAAACAGTCTACCGATCATATAAGGGTGCAAAGCCTTGATAGACGCAGTGGAATGCACGATCTCCCGAGGGCTGTCGCTGCGCCAATCCGCTGTGAATCGCTCTGAATAATTATTAATTCATGTCGGGATTAAATTAAAATCTACAAAGCTGCTTTTTTGTCTATAAGTAGTTCACGATAATTACACAGCCCCACAAAAAAAAAGTATTGGATCTGGTATTCCCATGTATTTTTTTCTGCTGAATCCGAATCTGCCTTCAGATTTGGCCCAGCGGATCTGAGTTTTCGGGAAAATTCAAAAAACAGGTCAAAATTCACAAAAAAAGTCATTTACGATCGACGAAAGTTATAAAAAGTCAAATTATTCTACTAGCTCACTAGACGTATGATTTTTCACTAGTTTAATTCCAATTTATCATCATAGTTAGACAAGCTAGTCCAATTTCATTCAAAAACAGAAAATTGATCAAAATGCTTAAAAATGCCATTTTCATGGCATATTTCGTGTTACAGTGTGCACCCACCCATTTATGAATTCATACATCTTTCTATCCAGTCGTTCATGCATTAATACGCATATTTATCCATCCACCTGTACCACCTATAAAACCCACCCATCCACCCACCTATTCATCTACTTTTTGTGCTGAGAGATGAGATAACAACCTAGAAGATTGAGAATGCAATAAAACTTGTAGAATACTCTACTTTCTAAACAAAAGAAAACGATATCTACAAATCATTCTTTTTTTGTTGCTATAACGTGTTCTCTTTTCTCCAAAGGATCTATGCAAAGGGTTACGCTTTCGTTTAGTTCTTCTATTTTTCATTTCTCTTTTTAACAACCAACAAAAATCGGCCATCATGTTGTAATCCCATCTTCCTTGATATCGCTGTTCTATAACGTTCATATCCTGATGAGATCGTTCGCCTTGTTCTTCGCTATTATTTATCTCTAAGATTTTCAGGAAACCAATCGAAATGTGAATGAAGGAAATGCAACTTGTAGTCCATCAAACATCCCAGGTCTTGGAAGTCTTTTATCAATTTTAATACAATTTCTTCGTAATTAGGACTCTTGTTGTTTCCTAAAAAAATTGCCGCTACAACTTTGAAACTAGTCCAAGCACTCTTCTCAACGCTACTCATTGTAGTGATGAATGTTGCGTCCTTGAACAATGTCCGAATCTGAGGTCCATCTAATACACCTTTCAATTTCGCCTCAGAAATATTCGGAAATTTTCGCCCTTTATATACTGGGTGTAACGTAAAGATTGGGAATAAATTAAACGGTGGATTCTTTGGTGCAAAAAATAAATTTTTCTCATATGAAGTTATGCTCTACGGGCTTTCTTATCCAAGCTACAGGGCGCTAAAAAGTTTCAAAAAATTTAGTTTTTCTCCAATAACTTTCGAACATTGTAAGATAATGGAACGAAATTTTAGCCTTATATTAGCTTAATTTGATAATTCCTTAGTAACAGGAAAAAGATTGTAAGTTACTCAGTGGCGTGCGTATGGATTGTACCGTAAGGTTTTTCGAACAAAATTGTATGCCACTTGTAAAACATTTTTTTAATATTTTTTTTATGATCCACTTTTTATTTTAAACAAAATTACCCTCTTGCGTTTTATTTGTAGCTCTTGTAATTTTTCCGTAAATAAAACTTTTGTAAATACCATTTTTCCCACTGCTAACATAGGAAAATAAAAGTAAGAAAAACATTATGAAGTAAGCTTTGGGTCAGCTACCGAATATGATCAAAGAGGCATTGAAAAAAGACTTTTGCATTGAAAATCATATTAAAAAACTTAATTTTTTGAAATTATTTGGCGCCCTCTAGCTTGGAAAATAAAACCTGTAGAGCATAACTTTTATATGACAAATATTTATATTTTAAAATAAAAAATCCACCGTTTCATTTATTCCCAACCTTTATGTTACACCCTGTATATAGGGCGAAAACTTGTTGGTTGTTAAAAGAGAAACGAAAAATAGAAGGACTAAACGAGAACATAACCCTTTGCATAAATCCTTTGAAGAAAAGAGAACACGTTATAGCAACAAAAATAAGAATGATTTGTTGATATTGTTTTCTTTTGTTTAGAAAGTAGAGTATTCTACAAGTTTTATTGCATTCTCAATATTCTAGGTTGTTATCTCATCTCTCAGCACAAAAAGTAGATGGATAGATGGGTGGATGAGTGGGTATTATAGGTAGTACAGGTGGATGGATAAATATGCGTATTCATGCAAGAACGATTGAGTAGAAAGATGTATGAATTCATAAATGGGTGGGTGGGTAAAAAGATGGATCCAGAACTCTGCAATACGAATTATGATGATTTTGATGTATTTTCTGTTTTTGAATGAAATTGTACCAGCTTGTCACTCTATAATGATAAATTGGAATTAAATGAGTGAAAAATCATACGTCTAGTGAGCTGGTAGAATAATTTGACTTTTTATAACTTTCGTCAATCGTAAATGACGTTTTTTTTAAATTTTGACCTGTTTTTTAAATTTTCCCGAAAACTCGGACCTGTTGGGCCAAATCTGAAGGCAAATTCGGATTCAGCGGAAACAAATACATGGGTCTGAATATGAGATCCGATACTTTTTTTTGTGGGGCTGTGTTATCGTCAAATAAACGTTTTCTACCTTCGATACAAATTGGCTAAAGTTTCGGTAGACGTGGCTAAAATTTTTGTGCACGAGGTTGTGTAAAATTACTAATTTAAATAATTATAATTTTTTGAGCTTGCACCATTATTAAAACTTACAATATTAGTAATAACGAGCGAGTGTCAGCGAGCGAGATTTTTGCTACTATCATTTACATTTTTTTCAAATAACTGACCTTTTTCTTTTTTAACGTTGGATAATTAAATTTATTTCTCTTTCACTTATAATTTATATCCATGACGCTTACCAAAGCCACACTGGTGAGTAGTTAGCACCAGGGTTGTCATCTTTGGATTGGCAGTAAATACTAATTGGTACAAAAAAATCAGAATATGCTAAAACCTGGTAATTTACAAGAAAATTGGAAAAAAGTTGAAAGTGGAGTTAACTTGAAGTGTTCTGAAGATACTACAAAGTACTAAGAAAAAATGATCAATAACTATGAAAAAACAAATAGATAACATTCTGCCTTTTTGTTTGCCAATTTAGTACAATTCAATAATGGTAGTTTGGTTTGTGTTTATTTTAAGGACTTAAAAAGTAAGGAAATGATCTGGTGACACAACGGAAAGGAATATAGTACAATCATAGACAGAAGAACGGAACGCCAAGCAACTTCAAAAAGAGATCAAATTACAACTGCCAAGTTAACTTTTGTTTTGCTAATTCTTCACGATCAGGATTGTGGCAGAATTTTCATGATTTTCGATAATACATAACAAGGAAATACTAGAGTATATACTAGTTTAAAATTAAAAATACTAAATAGTATAGACTAAATTCAAAATTTTAATACTAAATGGGACGTTCAAAATATCAGATTTAGTATCTTATATATATCGTGTGAAACCCCGGAAAGGCCGGAGCCGAGACAAACATATTTAGGAAGCATGTATAAAATCTTTTGATTACCCTGAAATTGATCAGACACAGCATCCCGTTGATCCGCAGAGGCTGCCAGCAGATACAGCCGGCATAGACATCAACTTCTGGATGCAGGGTGAGTCGAAATTTTTCTGTCTGTTTCAGGCCCGCCAGGATCAAGAACCGAAAACGACGACATACTCACACACATCTCCCCCTTACTTTCCTTACCCCTCTCCCCTCCCGCGTTAGCTAAACACAGTGCTTCCTAAGCTGCATAGCTGCGTGACCTCACCCACACATGACAACCCCCGGGGGTTTACTCAGATGAGCCGACGAAGAAAGAAGAGCTCCAGAAGAAAGGGCCCTTACCGGTTGGGCCCAGCTAGGACAGGAAAAGTCGCCACGAATTAATCGGCGGTCCGAGATGACTGGGAAAGGGCCTATATCTACGAGGTGTCCGAGCCTACAGCGAAGAAGTGGGTAAAGAGCTATAGTCCCGCTCGACCCCGCTCC